AAAAAAAAAAAAAAAAAAAAGAGAAGACAGCAATTTTCAACCATGCAAGCGATGCACCCCAACCCAGCCCTATATGAACCCGAGATCGACCAGCGCAGTAAGCTCCGAGCGAGAAAGAAACAGGCCGGTTAATACCGACACAAGAGCAAAGCGAGAAGATACCAAACACAGAAAGAAGCAGAAGAAGAAAGAGGAGGAGATCAAGAGCTCGTATCGCCCTTCGCACGAGCATGCTTATAGCGATACCCCTGTCTCTTCCTCCCCAGCTCATCCTCCGCACCCTTCAAATCGCCAATTTCCTTCTCGCCCCAAGTCCACATCAGCGCGCGCGCCATCTTCTCGCGCTCCTTGAGGAGCAGATCGACTCGGCGCTCCCACTCCTTCTCGCGCTTCTCGACGGACCGCGCAATGCGCTGGTCTAGTGTCGTGGCGGTTTCGTCTTTGGCTGCTATGACGGATGTGAGGCGCTCGACTTCGGCGCGGAGGGAGCGGAGCTCGGGGTCTTGGGTGGACCGACGCGGGCGCTGCTGGGTGGTGTCGAGCGAGGCTTGGAGGCGAGATTCGCGCTGTTCGGCGGCGGAGAGGAGGGCGCGGAGTTTGCGGGTTGATTCGGCGTGGGAGGTGCGGAGGGTGGAGATGGCGGTCTTGTGGGCGACGTGTAGGCTTTTGATTTGTGCTTGGTGGGAGTCTTCTTGGGCGGTTGGTGGTGGTGCTCGGGTGGTGGGTGGGGAGGGCGGGGGGCTGAGCTGCTGTGGTTTTGTTTCTGCTTGGAGCTGCTCGATTGTGTCGAGGGCGTCGGAGTGCTCTTCTCGGACGCGGTTGAGTTCGTTTTGGGTTGAGTCGAGCTTGGTCTTGAGGTCTTCGTTGCGTTTTGTGAGACGGGTGTTTTCGCCTTCGATGGAGTTGATGAGGGTTTGCGATTCGGTGAGCTGCTCTTGTGACCGCGATAGTTGGATCTCGAGCGTCTTTTGCGTTGCGGAGGCGTCTTTCAGTTGAGCACGGAGTTTGGCTAGCTCGTCGAGGAGATGCTGCGTGTCGTTCTCCTTCGGTGCTGGTTCTTTGCCTTTGGGAAGGGAGTCGGGCGAGCGCGCGGGCGGCGGTCCGCCCAGATCTTTGATTAGTTCCAGAATCTCGGTGTAGGTGTTGCCGCCGTTGTCCAGCGGGAGGTCGGCGGCCACGGCCTTGAGGGCATTTTCGTGGGCGGTGACCTGCGACTGCGCGCGACTCAAGTCCGCCTCGAGGGTACTGTTCATCTCCTCCAGCGGGCGATTCTTAATTTCAAGCGAGGAGATCCGCTCCTCGAGGGATTGGTATTTGCGAGTCGCTTGAGTGGCTTCCGCGCCGAGTTTCTCGATTTCTTCGAGGTGGGTATCAACCCGGGCCTGGAGCCGGTCGATCTCGGTGTCCTTGTCTTGGAGTTGCTGCTCGGTTGCGGCCGCCATCTCTTTCAGCTTCTGGGCCGTCTCGTCAAAGGCCTCATCCCGCTTTTTCAGCTGGGCCTGCGAAAGATCGAGCTGCTGACGCAGATACGCAATGGTCTCGAGCCTCTCTGCGCTCAGCTCGGGCTCCGAGTTGCGACTCTGGAGCTCTTTTTGCATGTCGCTGATCTGGGTTTGAAGAGCGCCGAGATCCGATGCATTCATAGACGACTGCCGGAAGAAATTGTCTTTATCTTCGTTCTGTCGCTGTAACAATCGGAGCTGATCCCGTAGGACCGTCTCGTCATTGTGCTTGGCATGCAGTTCGTCAATGGTGGCCGTTTTCTTCTGTAGCTCTGCCTGTAGCTGGCTGATCTGATCCTTCACCGAAGTCGTCTCCTGAGTCTGTGCGAGCAGTCTCGCGAGCTGTGCATCCCGTTCTTCAAGTGCTCGCTGGAGTTCGGCAATCTGTCGACGCAGGCTCTCGTAATCATCCGCGTCGCTAATTCTCGAGGGTACGCGCTGCCTCCGCACGGACGGCGTCTGTGCCATGTCAAGCTCATCGTCTGGATCCTCTTCGATGTTCTCCAGGTGTGTTATATCCCTGCCTATACTATTCCGACGCAGAAGGTGAGACGGGGTCGACATGTCCACCGGCGGGCCGAATTCGCTGTACTCGCCCAGTTCCTGATCCTCCTCCACCGCAGGCTGATGCAGCTGAGAGGAATGCTGTTGATCCTCGGGTCGCTGCTCCTGCGGGAGTGTCGGCTCCTGGGGTTCCTGTTCCTCGGTGGGCGCAACGTCTTCCCCGTCTTCCTCCCCAAACTCGACCTGACTCCCATGTTCCCGAGTATCGTCGTCCATGAAATATTTGTCCATATTGGCGGTGAAGTCCTCCGGACCACCCACCTCAGACAGACGATCCTCCTCATGGGGCAACTTCAGCTCTCCCAGCGCGTCCTCATCATCTCCCGGTTTTGCGCCCGGCAGTCGGTTGAAGTCCACCGTGTACTCCGCCAAGCGTCTGTCGAGGGTATTATCCATGGCGCGATGGTCGGGGGATGATGCGCGGGATGACCCCGGGGACGGCCCGTTCTCGAGGCGCAATTCTTCCTCGTCGTCGGTGTGGCCCGCGAGGAGGTCGTCGATCGGGGTGTTTCCACGGTCGGGTGATTGCAGGGGATCTTGTTCTGGATGACCTGGGGGCGAGGATGGCATGAAGAGGGGCGTGGCCAGCGTCGATGCGCCGACCGTGTCGTGGGATGTGGTGTCCATGATCGAATGCAGGGATAGACACAGGGGGTGTTACACGAAGCAAGGCGACATAATCCGTGGGTGGGGGAAAGGTGCGGTGAGATGAGAAGCGGGTTTAACAGATGAATAACAATAGGCGGAATAGACAACTGGCGATCTGGAGTCTCGGGGCGATCATGGAATGCGATCAGTGACAGGAATAGAGTCAAGTCGGGGAAACGCGAGATGGTTGGCCGGCCTTGTGGCCTCAGGCGGTGCTTGTTTACTAGGTTCCCGATCTAGTTTAGCGCGGTTGCTACGATGATCTAAGCATCTCGTGCATGTTATGCAGTCTCTCTTTACATTCAATAGTCCTATCTTTCAGACAAAAGATGATTAGGTTATAGATCGATAGAGCATTAAGATCCCAATTTAGCAAGTTATCCCCATTAACTCCTTGAAATGATGTCCAGTCACGCCGTAATCGAGTTACCCAAATTACAGTATCTTTCAAGTGTGGATCCATATTCGTCCAATAATGTTGATTCCAAAGCACACCGCCTTTGGGACAATTTCCAGAATTTCAAGGTTCTTATCAGTGTTACCGCCAAAAAAATATCAAATAAAAAAAAAAGTGACGGGCGAACAATCCAACCTGCTGCTTCTCCCCACCAACACCCTCCAATTCGTTCGCACGAACGTTTCTCAATCATGCCTCCCACCATGTCAAAAAAGCGCAAGGTCCTGGATGGCCTGAAAGGCAAGACCGGGAACCCCAAGAAGAAGTTCAGAAAGCAGCGTCAATACCACAGCAGCTCCGATGAGGCCTCCGACGACGACCAAGCCGATTTTCAAGCCGTCAACCTCGCCGATTCCGATGACGAGGTCGAAGTGAAGCCGAAGGCGATCAAGGACAAGAAGCAGAAGCCGACGACAAAGACGGCAGCGGCAGCGACACCTCCGATCAAGTCTGCCATGAAGCCCACGAAGCAGACCGCGAAGGAGGACAGCGACGAGAGTTCCGCCGTCGAGGAGGACGATGAGCCCGACTTGGATGACCTTGTTCATGACGACGATGACGACGAAGAAGAAATCTCAGGCTCGGAGCAGGAGGACGAAGACGATGCGGATCAAACCTCGGGTCGCAGGACGGTCTCGAAGCGCAACGATCCCACGGCGTTCTCGACCTCCATGGCCAAGATCCTGTCCACCAAGCTGCCGACGGCCGCGCGCGCCGACCCCGTCTTGTCGCGCAGCAGGACCCTCGAGCAGTCCCGGAGCGAGCATGCGGACGAGAAGCTCGATCTGCAGGCGCGGGCGAAAATGCGCGCCGAGAAGCGTGAAGACATGGATCGCGGTCGCGTGCGCGATGTCCTGGGCATCAAGCGGGGTGCGGCCGGTCCGGTCGCCGAGGAGGAGAAGCGTCTCCGCAAGGTGGCCCAGCGGGGTGTGATTAAGCTGTTCAATGCGGTCCGCGCTGCGCAGGTTCGCGGAGAGGAAGCCGCCCGGCTCGAGCGGAAGAAGGGCACCGTGGGTATGGGTGAGCGGGAAAAGACCGTCAATGAAGTCAGCAAGCAAGGCTTCTTGGAGCTCATCAGTGGAAAGAAGGGGAAACCGTTGAACATCGAGGAGGCCTGAACGAGGCTCTGGTTCTGGTTCTGGTTCTTGAGGTGGGCATGTTACGGGCGTTGGGGAGAAAAAATGGCTTGATGTGATTTGTATCTTACTTTCGATTCCTACTCGTTTACTTCATGTAATTTTTGGATAAATGATAAAACCGTACATTATTTACAGGTGGTGGTCTCAGATCGATAGGAATGGAGATCGGAAATACCAGTATTATACTCAGCGGCCTAATGGTTCCCCAGTGTACCCTCATATCATACAGTTCTCTCCCCCGCTACAAACCTGCGGGGCGCTGCAAAGTGTGCTCCCAAAGATCGGGATCTTTTTTTAGTCGTGGTCATGCTGCGTTCTCTAAGTCTTCGGCGCAAAGTCGCTTGCTTGCATATTCCTCGTCATGGAAGGCAGTCGGACCACTAAGCCGTCCAGATCCTTGTTCATCACCACCTGGCATCCAAGGCGGGACGTCTCCGTCAAACCGAATGCCAGATCCAGCATGTCGTTCTCGTCATCGGAGGGCTCCTCCATCTTGTCAAACATGTCCGGGTCTTCCACGATAACATGGCACGTCGAACAGGCGCATGAGCCACCGCACGCTCCTACCGTCCCAGACTTGTCAGTACCCAGTCTCACCACTTTCAGATAAACACAGAAATCCAAAGTCATGCTCACCTTCCATCTCCAGGTCGTTGGCCTGCGCGATATCCAACAGATTGTCCCCCTCGGCGACTTGGAACTCGTACTTCTCGTTGTCCTTGTCAACAAAGGTAACATTGATTCTAAACCAGTCAGTATCCTCAACAGAATCCACCCGCGATCGACCACACTCACTCCTCCCCGGCCTTGGGCGGGGTGATATGGCCGTGCTGTACTCCGGCCGTGGCGGAGAAACTCCGACGAGCCGACTCCAGCCTTTGCCACTGCCCCCTCCCCCGTGCGACCACGTTCGACCTCGTGAGCGTCAATGGCGATGTCGTGGAATTCACAATCTGAGGTTTTTGTGGAGAAAGACTAAGGAATCTCTGGGAGTCAATGCGACAGATACCCTTGCCGGAGACGGACTTGGGGACGGCATGACGCAGACCCCGGCCGGCTTCTTTCCAGAACATGATGGGAAAATAAACTCTCAAAAAGGTTGAAAATGCGATCAAGGAGAAATGTAATATTAAGCGAATAAAAAGGGGAGGGAGACGAGAGAGACTGAGTTGTCTTTTCAAGACAGAAGGAGAGGGACGTAAGAAAATCAGATGGAATAAAATCAAATGAAAAAGCCGAGAGTTTATTCGCTGGCGGCTCCAGAGTCACGGGTTATTCTCCCCATCGCTTTCTTTTCAACCTCACTTTCTCTTCTCTCTTGTATTTCTCTTCCCCTCTTCCCCCCCCCACTCCCCACTTGTTCCCCTCGATCATTGTTTTGATTGATTTCGAATCATGTCGTCCTCGCGGGAAGGTATCAACCCTCTGCGTCCCTACTATATCCCCCCGTCACTGGGTCTGGATACGACCAATGGCTCCTCCCCTCCCGAGGCGTCATCAACCCAGGTTTTTGGCAGCTCTGCCCGCGACTTGTTGCCGGACCTCGACTATTCGGACTACCTGGAAAGCTCGCCGTCGGTCTCCAGCTGGCTCCGCGATGGTCTGGACAGCTCCATCAGACGCTATTTGAGTACATTGACCGGTCAACCGTTGGATGTTGCCAAAACCATTCTTCAAACCTATGTCGCCCCCGATGCGTTGGACGGGCAAGGTCCCCGAGAGTCGCACCGGAGACACCCGTCGACCCCTGCTAGTGATTCTTATGAAGATGAGGAGGTATGTGAAAGCGCAGTATCTTGGAAGTGGTGATCTTTCGGAGGTTGCTAACGTGCGGTCGCTTGTACCAGGAATACATTTCCTCTGATGACGAGAGCAATTATTTCACCTCGTCGGCCCCCGCGGTGGCTTCGCCGTCCACGCCACGGTCGAAAAAGTCGCGACGTCAGATCACCGATCGGAGCGGCTACATTCCGTCTTCGAACTCGTCTCGACATGCCTTGGCCGTCAAAAATCCGGACTCGCTCATGGATGTGCTCTCCCAGCTGTGGACCAACAGTGGCCCCACGTCGCCGTGGAAAGCGGCCAACACGACCTTCATTTACTCGCTCCTCCTGCCGACCCTGAACACCTTCATTCGCAGTCTCCTGTCGGCCATTGTCGGCTTACCCGAAGAGGACGTGACGGCCTCCGTGGCGGCGGACATTCTGACGTCAAGCTCTCCGGTTGCGACCCTGATCCTGTCGTTCATCTCCACTTCTCTGTCAGCCATTGTGCTGGCCCCGATCGACACGGCGCGCACGTTCCTCATCTTGACGCCGGCCACTCACGGACCCCGCTCGCTCCTGCGCGCCATCCGCCAGATCCCGACGCCCAACTGCACGATCCCCGCCCACCTCGTGCCCATCACCATCCTCCATTCGAGCTTGCCGAACCTCATCTCCAACACGATCCCCCTGTTCCTCAAGTCCTACCTGTCCATCGATCCCGTCATCAATCCGTCCATGTGGAGCCTGTTCTCGTTCCTCGGCTCTAGCTTCGAGATGGCCGTCCGATTTCCGCTGGAGACCGTGCTGCGTCGGGCGCAGATCGCTACGTACACCTCTCCCAGCCTCCGGCAGCAGTCGATAGGAGGTCTGGAAGCGGCCAAGAGCCCGACGACCGCATCTCCGGGCACCTCCTCCGCGGTCGAGACTATTGTCCCAACGCCCCAGACCTACCGCGGCGTCGTGGGCACCATGTGGGGTATTGTCTATGAAGAAGGGGTGGAGCCGATGTCCGCTGAGGCCGAACAGGCCCAGCGAGCGCTCAACAAGCCGCTCCTGCTCCGGCGACGACAAGGCCAGGGCCTTCGGGGCCTCTACCGGGGCTGGCGCATCGGCATGTGGGGCATCGTTGGCGTCTGGGGAGCCAACCTGCTGGGCAGTGCCGGCGGAGCGGACGACGAGGTGATGGTCAGCGGTGGTCGATTCTAAATGACATATGAGTCGATCGTTGAATGGGCACTGTCCCAGCAAAGTACAGTTTACTACACTTCCCTTCTCACTGCATCCCTCTCCTCTCCTCTCCCTTTCTTCTCTCGTTACCACACAACCCTCACCAATTTCGTGACGGCCGTTATGGAGTTCTTCTTTTTGACTCGACTTGACATATGACGGAAGCGGGCATGGCGTTGATCTTTCACTCGTTCTTTCTCATCATTCTTTCATGTGGGCGTGTTTTCGTCCTGTAGATAATCCATAATATTGGGAGGTGTTTCTTCATTTTTTTTTCTAGCTTTTGTTCGGGTTTATATTAACGGCGATATACCATTCATACATACCATTCTTCTTATATCATTATACCTATCTGTTCTGATACAGAGACTCGCGTTTCATCTATGGGGGAAATCTACACGCAGCTTAATAGTCTTGTCATAGCTGCGCTGGTCTAGCTTTTCTCAGCTTGGGATCTAGACTCAGTAAATAGTTCTGTGGTTCCTATATATCTGTTAAATCAAAGCAGAGACAAGTCTACAACCATACATAATCAATCAATCACAAGAGCATGTATGTATAGTTCACGAGTGGAGTGACTTAAATCTCCAGGACACTACAAAAACTTGATACAGTGGATAGAGAAATGAATCCCCAGAGCAATCATACATTACTCCAGAACATCCTAAATAGAAAGAAAAGAAGAAGAAAACAATGAAGAATGAAAAGGCTACTATTGCAAAATTGTACAATGAACTTGATACAGTAACATGACATGATTAACCCAAAACGCCATCCATGCCTCCCAACCCATCTAAGATATTCACGATAGCGTGCCTGAGCCTTTCCGATAACAGATTCATATATCCATCCATATCATAAATCAATCCAGACAAGACGACAGACACCGAATCGGATCTAATGATCTAGTTTTTCTCAATTGCATTTCTTTTCTTGTTTCAGTGGGTAGGTTCGGCTTTTCCGTTGTCGTCCAAATCATGAATCCATCAGAAGCGAGTAATCGAACTTTTTTTTTTTTTTTTTTTTTTGTGGTGGGTATGGCAGGGTTGATCCAGAACCCCAGGACCTGGTCAAAACCTGAAGATGAACAAAACAAGGGTCGTATAAAGTACAAACTCAGACATACGTGAGTCAGGTTTGGGTATCATCAGAACTTAAAAATGAAAAATAAACAAAGGCGGTCGAACAGGAGAAAAAGAAGAGAAAAGGAAGAAAGGGAGAGAGAAGAGTGAAGAAAAGGACGAAAAAGGGAAAAAAGAAAAGAAAAGAAAAGAAAAGAAAAGAAAAGAAAAGAAAAGAAAAGAAAAGAAAAGAAAAGAAAAAAAAGAGTTCCTTATTTGTCGGCAAAGCGCCGGTCAAAGTATCGCAGGACACCCATGACGCTGGCGGCCTCTACCTCCATGGGCCCCCGTGAGCCCTCGGCGGGGGCGACATCCCGAGGATTGGGGAGAGGGTGCAGCTTGGGTAACCAGGATGAAATCTCGTCGCTGGCTCGAGAGAAGTTGGGATGGCGGGACAAGGTGGTAAAAGCGTCCGCGCACGAGAGGGTCAAGGATGGGTTCGAGGCCCCTGCCCCGCGGGGGCCCGCGGCGGGGGCAGCGCCAATCCCACTTCGTGGAGGGTTGGCAGACTGCGAGGACTGGCAGCAGCCGCCGTCGGGACCTTTGCCACCGCAGCAGCCTGAGGGGGCGCCGCGGGAAGAGCGGGCGGCCGCCAGCGTCTTGCAGAATAGAGTGCTCTGGGGATCTGCCATGCATTGCGCGCAGGTTCCGGGCCCGTTAGCACAGGGGTTGGTGGCCTGGCTGATCGGGGGGAGAGTCACCTCGGACCGCACGTCGCCGTCCGAGGGCGGCGGCGTGAACTGCGACAGGTTCTGGATGGGGGCCAGTCGGTTGTTCTCGAACGAGCGCCGCCGCTGCTCCTCTTGGGCGGCCATCTCGGCGCAGATGCAGGGAGTGCCGTCCTGGCAGAAGCCGCAGGGGTCGACCGCGGGGGAGTCGGACGACGAGACCACGGAGACCTCGTCCGAGGGCCGGGAGGCCGCAAAGCGGGCGGTGAAATCGATCTCCATCTCCTCGGGGTCGGGCTTGACGGCGGGCTCGGGGTAGCGAGTCATCGGGATGGCACCGGTGCCGGGGCGCTTGGACAGGTCGACTCCCGGGATGGCAAAGGCGTCCTCGATGCATTGGCAGTGGACGGAGGAGCAGTCCGGGCATCCCAGCGGCACCTCGTCCGCGTCGTCGACGAAGTCCTTGTGGTGGTGTGCTGGCGGTTTCTCGCTGGCGGCGGATACAAATTCCTTGGCCGTCGACCGGGTCTGCGCGGCGGTTCGCTCCGGGCGGGCGGCGGGTGCGGCGGACGGGTCGGACAGGGAGGTGCGGAATTCCTTGACGAGGGCCTCCTTGGCACTCCGTTCAACAGAGACCTCCTTCTCCAGGGAGTGGGCGCGGTCGCGCCACCAGTTGATGTCGTTCCGGCATTGGTCGACTTCATGGGAGAGGTTGGCGATCTGCTCCTTGAGCCCGAGGACGTACATGTCGTGTTCATCTTCGATCAGCTTGATCTGATCCTCAAGCTCGTTGACGCGGGCGGCGCGGCGTTCCCGGAAGGCTCGCTGGGCAGCGCGATTCTGGGCCTTGCGTTTCGTGGGAGGCGTATCGGTGGCCGGTTTGCGCCCGGGCTTCGGACGGGGCGGGATGACCCATTCTCTCGAGGTGATCGATCCGGGCGTGCCCGGACCAGGCGAGGGTGAAACCGTCGGCTTGGCCGCAATGGCGGGCACCAACGGGGCCACCGCAGAAGCGGGGGCGATGGAGGGAGCAAGCGTGGCCATGACCCTCCGTTAACCCAGGAGAGGGAGAGCAGACGGTGAGTTGGAGAAAATAAAGAGAGAGAGAGAGAGAAAAGAAAGAAGACGGTGGGGGGTGTGGCCTGAGGCGGTGACGGTTAACCGGGCACGGTCATGTGATTATGGCGATGCAGAGATCTGTACCTGAACAGGGACAGAAGTGCCGTCGTTGTTGAGGATAATAATGATGGTACTAGTACAAGCAAGAGTGGAAGTAGCAGCAGTACTGATAGTAATTGTTTGATATAGAATCAAGTTTCAGAGTGTACTGAAGGGCGTCAGGAGAGCCTCGGCCGGAACAGCGGAAAGTGCGCGTGGTCTCCAAGAGTAAGCGAGTGGAATTGAACCACGCCAATTGGGAATCAGAGAGAGAGGGAGGCCGATTACACATCGAACAAGATATCAATCGAAGTATAATAAGAAGTATTCCCGTTGGCTGGGAAGAAGAAGGATCATACGGAAGAAAAGGAAGATAGAGAAAGAAGAAAGAGAAAGAGAGAGAGAGGGGAAAGAGGAGGAAAACGGTTAACAAAAAGCAAGGACGGATCGGATCAGATTAGATTATCGTGCGGTCTGCCCGACTTCGGAGGGAACTTTTTTGTGGTCATGTCGTCCCGCTTGGGTCCTATGTCCATGGTTCAGCCCTCGTTATCAATCAGTGATACTTTACTACATCCTAACTAGAGCATTTTTTGAACCGTCGTCCACAAATGATGTCCGCCGTCAGGGTACGGTGAGGTAAGAGAGTGATGATCCCTGGAGCCCTACGTAATGGAGAAGCCTCCATTGCCAATCACCGGATCCGATTATCCGACTTTTTGCAGATCAACCAGCATCCACGGGAAGAGAGAGAGCAAAAGACGGAAGAGGAAATGAAAAGGAAAAGTGAAATGAAATATTAATAATAATAATAAGGGAAGAAAGAAGAAAGGTGAAGAGAAAACTCTGACCAGGCAGCTCCACCTCAGATGAATCAATCAGTCGATGATCTTATCTGATCACGGATCTTCCAATGCCGAACAACGGAAATTCCGCTTTCGGCACGCCGTATAGTCGGTATGACGGGAGAGGTCGAAGTCGTGATGGTAATCATTCGGCATAGACATCGAGAAGATGATAGAGAGAAATTGTCTGCAGAATTGAAGCTGTCATGCAGAATTCGTAATGGAGCTGCACGTGAGTAGTAGAGTCACGTGGTTGTATACTCAATTCTGGACGATGGAGTATAGACGACCCTCGATATCTTCTATCCCCCCCACCAACGCATCCGCCCTCAAGCAGTCACCTCTATCTGCAGAAGGCTACGTTGTCTCTGGAGAGATATGTCTGCCAACGTTATATCGGCCGAGCTGCATGGATGACGTCGCAGACAGGTTCACGGCGGTCAAGCAGGTCATCTTCCTCATCTCTCTCCATTGACGACCACGATGAGGACGATGACCGGTGCGACGTAGACCATTCTTCTAATTTTACCACCAAATGCAATAATGCAACGCATGCTGCATGGACAACAATTCCATGACGAGAGACTGCGTCTGACAGGTCACTCTCGTCTTCATCGGTTACGTGGCATGGGAAACGGTCGATGGCTATATTGATCGTGTGTCCCGAGATCCCACGGCTCAGAGGTAGTTGTTATTTCAGTCTGATCTCTCACATCAAGCCCTAAGTAGCCATCATGAAACATCTGGATCGCATCTTAAAACACGTCCATCACAAGGATAAACACCACGAGGACCACCACCACCACCACCATCATCACGAACATCAGAAGCCCCAGTCCCAAAGTAAGTATTACCAATACATGCCCTCATTCCTCCAGAGGCGACTCTCTCTCCTGACCGGATTCTTCTTTGGGAAAAAAGGCACAACTCCAGCGGCCTCTCCGCCCGAGTCCCACCCGACGGGTCCACGGCACGTCTTTGCCCATTTCATCGTATGGACACCGCTCCTCGTGACAGGATACCGCCCGTAGCTAACCGAATCCAGATTGGAAATACGTATTCCACCACACCAGAGCAATGGGAGTTTGACATAAGCGAGGCCAAGAAGGCCCATATCGACGGCTTTGCGTTAAACATTGCCCCCCAGGACCATCACACCGACCAATCCCTCCACGCCGCCTACGATATCGCCGAGAGGCTGGGAGGTTTCTCCCTTTTCCTGTCGTTTGACTATGCGTCGGGCGGCCCATGGCCCGCCGACCGGGTGATCTCCACCATCAACACCTACAAACACCGCGCCGCCCAGTTTCGTTGGCAAGGCCGGCCCATGGTGTCCACGTTCGAAGGGCCCGGTAACGCGGGAGACTGGCCCAACATCAAGCACGCTACCGGGTGCATGTTCATCCCCGACTGGACCAGTCTGTCTCCGGGGGGTATCGGGGGTGTTTTGGACACTATCGACGGGGCCTTCAGCTGGGACGCCTGGCCCGTGGGTGCCCAGGGCATGACGACTGCCAGTGATGAGGCCTGGTCCAAGGCGATCGCCGGAAAGCCGTACATGATGCCAGTATCCCCCTGGTTCTACACCAATCTTCCTCAGTGGAACAAGAATTGGCTGTGGCGGGGGGATGATTTATGGCACGACCGGTGGAAGCAGGTTATCGACTTCCAGCCCCCTCTCGTTCAGGTCTGTGGTTCTCTTTCGTTCTTTTCTTCTATCTTTTGCCTCAGTTCTTGGAGCTTACCCAAATGTTTTCTTTGCGGTAGATCCTCAGCTGGAATGACTACGGCGAGTCCCACTATATCGGTCCAATCTACAAGGCGGGACTGCCCGAGGGGTCCTCGCGATACGTTTCCAGCTGCCCGCACGACGCCTGGCGTGTGCTACTCCCCTACTACATCGACGCCTACAAGCGGCAAGGCGGGGCCGCCGACCTGAACAACCCCCGGTATCCCGTCTCCTTCACCGAGAAGATTGTGTACTGGTACCGACGCACCCCGGGGCACTGCGGGAACTCGGACGGGACGACGGGAAACAACCCGGCCTTTGGTCAACCCGCCCTAGCGCCGTCCGAGCTGTCCCAAGACCGAGTCTTTGTGACCGTTGCGCTCGCCAAACCGAGTGAGCTCCACGTGCAAATCGGGTACGCGACGCCCACGGTGCTCCAGGCCACCCAGCCGGGCATCAACCACTTCTCGGTGCCCTTCCACGGGCAGGTGGGACCGGTCCGCTTTGTGATTGTGCGCAAGCACCGGGAGATCGCGACGGCCACGGGGCCCGCCATCACCGACGTCTGTGAGGATGGGTTGGCCAATTGGAATGCGGTGGTGGGATCCAACGAGTGATGGTATGGTTTTATGGATGCTTTGAACAGTAGATATATTAGTATCACGAGACACCCCAAATCAGACGAGTCCCTTATAAATATAGTAGCAATCCTCGACCGATCCGTCCATTCGTCATAGTGGTGTCGTAGATCGACCGGCGATCCATTCTCCACTCGTCCCTGCTGACCAGTTGGCCACATCGGGCAGGGATCTCCCCATGCCTGAGGCCGGCGTCATCCTCCCTTCTCCGCATCTTCCTCTCTTTCTCCTCTTTCTCCCTTCATCTCCACTTCATCTCTCTCACTTCATCCATCTCAGTGCAACTCTCGAATTATTACTTTATTCTATATACTCTATCACTCTCAACGCTATACCATCCCACCACCATGACCAAGAAATGCTTTTCAGAGCTCCAAACCGAGTCATGGAGGCCTCCAGTCCCTCCATTGACTCAATCACCACCCACCACCCTTCCATCGCGGTCCACTACCGAGGATACCTCTCCGGGCGCTGCCTCCTCTCCCGGTGCTGCCATCTCTCCGGGCGACTATTCCCAACCGTACTGTGATTTCATGACCAACAATCCCACCACCTTCCATGCCGTGAACAGCTTCACCAAACAGCTCGAGCAGAGCGGCTACCGCCGTCTCTCAGAGCGAGACACTTGGACAAACAGGCTGCAGCGGGGCGGAAAATACTACTGCTCGCGGAACGGAAGCTCGTTCATCGCCTTCTCCATCGGCAAGAACTACCGCACCGGGAACGGCATGGCCATCGTCGCCGGCCACATCGACGCCCTCACCGCCAAACTGAAGCCCGTCTCCAAGCTCCCCTCCAAGGCCGGCTACGCCCAGTTGGCCGTCGCCCCCTACGCGAGCGGTCTGGGCCCGACCTGGTGGGACCGGGACCTGTCCATCGGCGGCCGCGTCATCGTGCGCGACTCCGACTCCGGCATGGTCAAGTCCAAGCTGGTCAAGCTGGACTGGCCCATCGCGCGCATCCCCACCCTGGCGCAGCACTTCGGCGCCCCATCGCAGGGCCCCTTCAACAAAGAGACCCAGATGGTGCCCATCATCGGGGTCGACAACTCCGACCTCTTCCAGGCCCCCGCCGCCGCGGATGCCAGCATCAAGCCCGGGGACTCGTTCGCCTCTTCTCAACCCGAGAAGCTCGTCCGCGTCATCTGCAAGGAACTGCAGATCCACGACCCGGACACTATCCTCAGCTGGGAGCTGGAGCTGTACGACAGCCAGGCGGCGCGGCTCGGCGGCCTCGAGAAGGACCTGATCTTCGCGGGCCGCATCGACGACAAGCTCTGCTGCTACGCCGCGCAGGAAGCACTCCTGGCATCGTCCGACGACAAGGCCACCGAAACAGTCAAAATGGTCGGCATGTTCGACGACGAGGAAATCGGCAGCCAGCTGCGCCAAGGCGCCCAGTCCAACTTCATGAGCAGCGTATTCGAGCGCATCACCGAGGCAATGGCCCCATCAGCAGACTACTACGGACCCAACCTGGTCTCCCAGACCGCGGCAAACAGCTTCTTCGTCTCCTCAGACGTCATTCACGCCGTCAACCCCAACTTCCTCAACGCCTACCTCGAGAACCACTCCCCGCGCCTCAACGTCGGCGTCGCCGTCTCCGCAGACTCAAACGGCCACATGACCACCGACAGCGTCAGCTACGGCTTCATCCAGCGCGTCGCTGATAAATGCGACGCCAAACTCCAGGTCTTCCATATCCGCAATGACTCCCGCTCTGGGGGCACCATCGGCCCCATGACTAGCTCTCGTCTTGGCTTCCGCGCTATCGACGTCGGCATCCCCCAGCTGAGTATGCATAGCATTCGTGCGACCACTGGTAGTTTGGATCCGGGGCTGGGCGTCCAGCTGTTCAAGGGGTTCTTTGATCATTTTGAGGAGGTGGATCGGGAGTTTGCTGATTTGTAGTTTTTATTTTTTATTTTTTTTTCCCTTATATGGGAGGAGAGGAAGAGAGGGGAAGGGAGGAGGATAATACTATATTATATAGCTTAGCTTGGCGTATCGTTGGATATGAATGAATACGAGTATGATAGACTGACTGACATTTCATAATAAGCTATAGCTTACACTACGTGTAGAGCTAGATACATTCAATACATCTCACTCGTTCATTAACAACCGTCCCCATTCTCATCTAATTCTACTCTACGGAGTACTCTATCCTTATATTCTCGCTGTAAGAAAGTCTTGTATCAAATCCGTCTTGAGAACACGCTAGGAAATTGGTATTGAGCTAAGTTACAGATGTTTGCGGATGGGTATGCATAGTGAAACAGTAAGGAGAAGGGAATCAAAACATGAGTGTTGTAGTAGTAATATATGGTAACAGCTTGTTCAGCCAAGATTAAAAAGAAAGAAGATGAAGAAAATAACAAGAAGAGAAAAAAAAAGAAAAGGATAAAGAGGGAGAGTATATGAAAGGGGATATCAAAGCGTGAGGGATTGATTATATATAGAGTTGGTTTTACCCTGCCACAGAAGCATTGACGTGCTGGCAGCAGGAGTAGTGTTTTCGTCATGATTATCCCTTTGAGAAAGGGACAAAAGAATGGAATGAAAAAATGTCATAAGATGTATCACTTCGATGGCTCAGACGACGCTGACGACGATGACGACTCAGCCCGCGCTTCCATCTCCACGACGGGCTCCTTCGCGTCTTCCACGTCCTTGGTATCCTTAAGCGTCAGCTTGCGCTTGCCGTCGAAGTCGCTCTCGGAGACGAGCGTCAGCATGCGTTCGGAATGCTCGCGGCCGTACTCTAGGTCGTCGCCGCGGCTGATTGTCGTCGTTACTGTTCCGGTGCCGTTCCAGTAGGAGGGGGCTTGTGCGTGCGATAGCGGCATGTTGCTGTATGGTGTTTCGGTGTTTGTGCTGAATGATGAGAGGAGATGGGGCACAACGCGGGAGATGAGTGGTCGGAGTGTTGGGAGACAGGCGCAGATGATGCCGGTGTTGCATTCGATGGCGGACCATGCGGCCGCGCCGACGTTGTCATCTGTTGAGTTGAAAGGTTAGTTTTTATCTCTTGGTTGATGGTGGGGAGACCGTGCGGCGTACAGGTAGGGTCGGCGGACTCGGAGATCTTCTTCAAGGAGACTAGACGACAGACGCTGGTGACACAAACACTGCATGGTCTCATGTTAGCCGTTATCTTTACCCTTCCATACGGCTATAGATCCGACTTACAATCCACCGAGCGCAAAGACCGAGATCAGGGCGATCTTCTGTCTCTTCGGGATCTCCAGTCCGATCAGGGCTGGAATCGGAATGATCAAAATGGCCAAGTCGGTAGCAATGTGCATGGCCGCGTTGGAGAACCACAGCCCCTTTTGATCCAGGCAGTAGCCCGTGATGGATGGGTCCCAGAATTTGGCCACCGGAATGCAGTTGAGGAAACCGCTCAGGACCGCCCACGATCCATATGTTGCCAAAACACCTATCATGACCCACGAGATAGTGCGCATCCGGGATGTCTGGAAGACGCGATAGTACTGCAAGAGGATAGACGCCTTCGCGCTCAACAGCGCAGCATTGTAGAAGGGGATCGTGATCCAGAAGGCCTGCCACATACTGTTAGACATCGCACTGTACATTACTTCCCCCCCAAGGCTGCCTTACCTTCATCTGTTTCAAGAGGATTTCAGGTGGGATGTCGGCGCCATGCATCCCTATACCGTTAAAGGCCTCCACTATGAAGAACCCCATGAAGACGAAGGAGAACAACTGAGCTCAGATGTCAGTACCATCATGTGGGGCCGTTGGCTAGATGTGTCAAACTCATCTTACCAGCGCAATAAGAACCATCCAGTCATTGCCTTCCATGCGTTTCATCAACACCCGCCGCGTGTAGAGTCGTGCGACAACGAAAAGACATGCTAGACTTGTGAAGACGATGCTAACGGACAGTGCTTTCGCTCCTCCATGGGAGAGGTACGGCTGGACTCCGTCCCTTCGACGGAGTCCAGGAGTAGATCCCGTCATTCTCGCGTCCAAGACGGAGTCAAGTTGTGCTTCTTCTCTCGAATTCCTTCTGTCTTGCCCTAATGCTTTTGTAATCAATACCGGCCAGGCTGCCGGTGGACACAAATATGGGATAGCAACGTTGAAGCAAGCTGGTATGTATGGCCCATGCCCAGTGTTACCGAAAGAGTATATCGTTGATTACATCGCAGAGCAAAAAGGCAAGATCGGGTGGTGGGGGGACGATGGATCTATAAACCTTTCCCTTCGACCCCGGAAACGCCTCGAACTTTTGAAAGTAATTGAAACCACTGCCCTGTCAGTGAAGATCATTCTTCAATGTCTCATTGCTTTTTCGGATTGGTGGCCCGGAGCTCATGCTTAAGACATGGGCTGAGTCCAATAGGGAGAAGGGAGGCGACGAAGGGAAAAGCAAGCAAGGGAGGGGACAAATAAGCAAATGGTCAGGAAAAGCCACAGTAACCGTTTGAAAAAGACAAGTCGAAAGATCCAGATCCATGGGAATGAGATGTGAACTTTCTCTTCTCCCATTTCTTTATTTTTTTCTGATCAAGATTTTTTTTTTTCTCACTTCCTTCCATATTTGACTTTTGGGAAGCCTACTAGATTCCCCGGGGCAAGGATGATCAAGCGACCAATTCCACCCCTTTGGAGTCACTAGGGCTGTTGGCCAACGTCAATGATCAACGATAAGTGTTGTTTCCACTGTCGAGGGAACCGACCCGGACCAGTCAAGAGACAGAGAAGCATTGGTGGAGCGGGCGTTGGAAGGATCGACGACGAATCGAAACCCTTCTCGAATGACGATGTGGGGAGATCGGTGTGCATCGAGACGTCCATCCGCATACACGGACTTCTGGTCCTCATTGATTTGTTCCAATACGATCTATAAAAACATGTCTTGCGTCGAAGTAGATAGATCGTGGCAGCATGGTTGAATCCCTAGTCTCTCCAAATGCACCTGGAGCTGTCAAAGGGACTCTCCCTCGAGTAAAGCCTCAAATTGCTGCAGCAGGGATTCGAATTTTCTTCCCGAGGGCGCACCCCTGGTCGAACCAAAAGTTTGAGAGTCAACAGTGACCGGGAGACCACCTAGGCTCTCCTTCGTGACATCAGTTGTCTCGTTTCGTAGACCCCTAGGTAGTAGGAAAGGGGCTGAGGCGTGTAAGGGAATCATTCCACCCTCAAATTCGTAGGAGATTTTATAGAGTAAGGGATGCAACATCAAACCCTCGTCCCCTGTTACAAGATTGGGCACCGTCTCGCGGCACCTATGGTGTTCACAAATGGAGCATTATTTCCAATCGAATGGCACAGTGGACGATAGAACTGCGACGGAGGACCTCAGTTGGCCCCGTTAGGTTGGGCCTAGAGGATACGATATATCATATTTCTTTTTTTGGAGGACTTGTGTGGTCTGCAGGCGTGATTGCCGCCGACGTGAGCCACATTGAATAACGAACATGCAGGGGGCGGAAGTACCATGCATCAGGATCGCAAATAAGAGCAGGACACTCTGTGCGGCAAAGGCCATCAGCCCACTATGGCTCCATGTCAAACAGCATCTCATCTTGAGTCTGGAGGAGCATGGTCTGTGCGATCAGTTGACAGGTCACATTTTCGCGCCGCGGGTGTAGTGAACCCTTCAGCTTGAGGGGAGTCATCAAACAAAGTCGTAGCCATATTATCGCTTAATGGTCACACGATTGGAGGACAAACTTTTATATTGCTTGACAAGATCCAGTAGACGACCTTGGCGTGACAGTAGATACATACATAGTAGAGTTGGGTTGGGCGGGGACTGGAGGTGGAAAGTGCGAGTGGGAGTAAAGGTGGAAGTGGAGTGATAGAAAGCGTGGGCTGTGGAGTATGATGGGCTGGTCGAGTCGTGACCACTGCCATCACGGTGATCGTGGACATTAGCAAGTCGCGATTGCTATGATTGTTGTCAATTATTCAGGTAGCTTCATTAAACCATCCCCTACAGAACCATTGGATTTTGACTCTCAGCTAGCCAGATCGACCGCTCCTCTCTGTACCAGCCTAACAGCGAAGAGAAACGCCCACATTAACATGGCCGAATCGCTTTGCCGGGGTCATCATCACTTGAGCCACATTCTGTGGTAAATGATTGGGTCTGGATCCCCTTATTATGGAGCCAAGCCAATGTTTGCCAATGTCTCTCTTGGTAATAGACGGTGTATAACTAGGGGAAGTCAGGGGAGCTGGCTGAACTGATATATAGATCATTATTGTTGTGATTGACCTTGCTGACATTTGTATACTATTATTGGTGGTATTCGACTAGTTCGTGTTATGATGGGTTCACCCCAAAACGATGGGGTGCCAAAATTGGCCCTTCTTCAGTCCACATAATTCCATCTATAGGTATCTCTATCCATGGCATGAAGTACCTACCGGCAAGGTACCAACCATGCCTCTGTCTATCATTGTTGTTACCTTCGGGTCGCTCCGGTGAGAAGTGGAGTACTGTCCTTCTTATTTCCCTGTCGTCAGCAAGGGTATATATTTGAAATCTATCCATTCGGGTGGACGGGAGGTTGGTCAAGGTAGTATAGAGTCATCAATTTGATTTATTTCATCTATACAATGGATGTGTCTCGTCCAAGCAACTCTCTATCGAGGTACTTTTGGCGACGAACGGTTGAACCTGTCTTCAGACATCATGAAGCAATTATAGCATCCCGTAATTAGGCCCGGGAAGATAGCGTGGAAGGACAGTACATGAATCACAACGTCTCCATGATCATCAAGGAGGATCTCATTCGGCGGGGTTACCGAATGCATGTATCTATATCGACAAAAGCACTCCACTGAATCACATGCATTGGGTGTCTGTCGAAGTACTTCAACTGAGACGCAAGAGCCGCCCACAATAGCGTAGAGCTGAAAGGCTCCACCAT